GGAAACTGAACTTTCTGATCACCCCCGTTGAATCCACATTGAACGGGCTCCACTGCCCACGTGGCTGTCACGATTTTCTGAGATCCATGGAACCACATTCGACAGAGTGACATCGCTCACCCCACCATGATCTCATCATTTTGCCAGAAGTGAAGAATACTATTGAGCCAACCGGGCTTGACGATCCATCGGAAACCTTGCTCGAACCAACTCCCGAATTGCTTGGAAATGTTGTCCTTGTCTCCTTCATCGTAGGCACTACTACTGCTGCCCACCAGCACCGTTGCCGTTTCCTCCAGTGGAAAGCACTTTTTTCCACAACTTCATCTTGAGCCATAACACCTGCACCACCATAGGTGGAAGCAGAAGATACAGAGTTAGATTGGAAATTCCCATGTGCTCTCCGCGGGAGCCGGAATGCCCGGGCCAGGGCATGAATGTCCCCAGCTGCTTGGGTAACCGGATCTCCCTGAGCGATACCCCCCAGAATACCTGTTACACGGTCCAGTAACTCCGCGATGTCTTGACGGAACGCTTGGATATGCAAATTACAGGTGTTTGCCTCAGCCGCCGCTCTCTCCGCTGCACCACTGGCTTCACGAATCTCGGTCTTCAACGCATCAGTTGTCACATCAGCATCTTCGATGATCTTCTTCAAATCGACCAGCACAGCATGTCGGAGACGTTCGGCGCACGCATCCTTGGGATCGCCCCTCAACTTCAGATTCTCGGTCGACAGCCTCATCGGCATGTTTCCCGAATTGCGACGTCTAGTAGACATCATTGAACGCTTTGCTTGTACGCAAAATAACAATTACCTGAAGAAAACGGTTTTTAATGAGAGGGACTTCGCGACAAACATAGTCTATCGGAAGTATAAAGAGCAGGAAAGGTTGTCGAGCTGGCACTTCAGCTACTATTCAATCCTGGCAGTAGGCAAAAAAATGCCTTCAAACCGAAGAGAAAAAGAGAAAACGAGAAATATACGTGACTAGGATATTAAACGAGCGCTCTCATTCCCTATCGGAATGATTCTCCCTTACTTCTAAACCCATTATGTACCCAAAACTTACCAACCTTACCAGAAATTCACTCAAAAAGATTCGCGACTCCTTATAGAATGAATGACGTTGTCAGTAGAGACTCACTGTACCGGCGCGACCTTGTATGTTATGTCGACAACTTTCGCACTGCAGAAACTGACGAAGAGAAAATGCAGAATAAACCGATGAGCCCCAAAAAGGTGGATGTGAATCTTAAACCTAATGCGCAAATGCGAAAAGGCACCAGAGCTGCTACCAGTAAGCGATTGCGAAGTAGAAGCAATGCTTGTGTGCTATAAGCGACGAGCGTAGCTAGAAATGCGAGTGGAAGCGATTTTACTACAAAGGTTTATTATAGCGAAAGGCCATAATGGTACATGAGAAACACGGCAAGTGTTAGAATGGTTGAGAAGTAATACAAGTAAGTAGATGTCACAGAGGCTAGCCCGTTGAGAGAGGTACTGGACCTCAGCTCCCGTGGGGTCGCCAGAGGACATGAATGTAGGTGGGAACCGGGAGAAACTGTGTGGAATGACCGTTACACTGCGCTTATATACTCCGATACTCTCTCGTACGGAGACGCAGACTAAGAGAGGGGAAAACAACAACAAGTAAACAAGTAAACAACAATTATCTCGCGGGGAGGAGGTCACTCGAACTGTGCGTCGCTAGAGCGCGCTTGCTGCGGATACTGTAGTAAAGGTGCAGGCGTGATGACGGTGAGCGTGACGAGCGTTGAGCGATGGAATGCTCTGAAATTACACGTTGAATTACTTGTTTAAGCATGAGTGAAAGTTAACAGGTGTGATAGCATAAGTTTTCATTAAGAACGAATGCACCGGACACTACAATATCACTGAATTTGAGGAATCTTTAGAAGCTCACTTCACAATTTCTATGCCACCCAAGGTTCGAACCTGGATCAATGATTCTGATGATCATAGTCGTTAACCACTACACCAAGTGGTCGATTTGAGAGTGAAGTTCAAAAGGCCTTTAAAAGTTGCCTTTTTCGCAAAACGAAAAGCTGCCCATTTCCGCGCAACACCTGCCCATTTCTGCCCAACACCTGCCCATCTCCGCGCATCGGCGGCCGCTTTCCGCGCATATCTGCCCCGTGAGAGTGCCACAAGCGTTGCTACTTTCCGCGCTTCGACTGCCCAACTGCCGCTCAACGCCTGCCCTTGTGCTGCCCATGGGCAGTTTGCCCAAAATCTGCGCCGTCGCCCCAATCGCTGGGCAAACGGCCCACTATAGTGTGAAAGCTGCCCACTAGCTGCATAAAATTCCCTGAGTACATTTTGATAGCTCTAAAGACAACCGAGATATACTGCACTGAACATGCAGTACTTGAAGAATTCCAGAACTAAATGCAAGACAAAGTCATGAGAAGACTTTGTTGATACAATCGATTTCTTCAACAACATTTCTGTTAATTTATGAAATTACGGAGAAAGCTACGGATATTTTTAGTGTAAGCTTCTTTTTTAGTTTTCCTGATTTCAATTCGAGAAATCCAATTTTTCAGGATGAATACGAAGCGCTACCCGGGTTCACACGACGGATGATCTACTATGCGAGAGCTGGATCGGTGGCGTTTACCTGTTTCTTTATATATTTTGTTGGAACACCATCGATTCGGAAGATCATTATGACGAAGGTGTTGAGGCTAATGAGAAGAGAGCGAAAACAGCCTAGTAGGATGTTGACTACATGGAATAGTAGAGATGTTTCAACTATGTTTTGATGGGAATTATTTTTAGAAAATTGTTTATTCAGAAATAAAGTTTTTTTGTGCACAACCTTTTTATTTTCAGCAATAAACTCAAGAGGAAAAGAGTGAATTCTACAGTAGTCTTTTAAAGGCGCAAGCTATTTGTATCCGATTTGTCTCGCGGAGGCCGTCCATGTTTACTTGATTATTTTCTTTTTTTCAGTGCAATTGGTTTTCAAGAATTAAAACACAAATTTTCCGTCAATTGTTTTTAAATTCTGAATCAAAAAGCAGTAAAAAAAACACTGAAAACATTTTTAACCATAAACTTTTGCAATAACAGCTTGCCTTACACGCGCTTTCGGTTGTTTTTTTTTACTGCTTCCGACAAATCCTAAATTTGGGATTTGAAACAACTTTATTTGATTTCTTCCCTTGTTTTTCCTCTTTTATTCATTTCCGCGTATCAACAATCTATTTTTTCAGCCGACAGAAATAAAAGAATGTCGGAGCGCAAACGAAAGACCTCGCCGATCGACGGTCAACCACATGAGAAGAAGAAGAGTGGTTTCGAGGAGAGAAAGCAACAAGAAATCTGGGAATTCTTCTTAAGACATATTCGAAATGCCGAAGATCTCACTCTCGACCCGCCGATGAGTGAAAAGATCCGCGAGGGAATGATGATTTGGGAACAAATGAAGGAGGAGGTCGACACGATTCTCGAAGCCACAGATCTTTATGATATGTTGGTTTTTTTTGATTTCGACAACGCTTTCAAAACCCATTTTTACAGGTTTCACAATGCCATGGTTCCGAATCTCGCCTTCGCCGATCTATCAATTCAGACAAAGGCATGTTTGTACTACGCTCTTCAGAAACCAGTGGACTCTGAATTTCAAAATCAGTTAGTTTAAATGTTCGTTTATTTTGCTTTTCAAAAATCAATTTTTCAGGTTACACGACGTTGCCGATTATCGATTAGACGACCACAACGTTCTGATTGCTTTTCGAAAGAAAAGTCCGGAAGAGATCACAATAAAAGATGATCCAAACGATCCGTGGTATGAAGTGTGGCCTGATAGAAATGCGGAGAACAAATCTGATGAGAAACATGAGAAGAAGAATACAGTTCCAATCGAGAAATGTACGGAAAAGAATCCAGAGGAAGACTGTGTCTTCATTGTGAATGATGTGGATAACAGTGTGGAGCAGCAGAATTTCCTTATTGAGCAGTTTGTCGAAAAGAATCCAGAGAATTCTGCAGACAATAATCAGGAGCAGCAGAACTTCTTTACTGAGAAATCTGCGGAAATGAATCCAGAGCAAGAGCATGCGATCACTGAAAAAGATGCGCAAACTGAGAAAAGACTTGATCTGAGTTTCGATGAAATCACTTTCACCGAAGAAAGCTGCTGGGGAGTCGCAGAAGGTGGTCAAAGCGGTGAAGCAATGAATGTTGACGCAATGACTGCATTCATAAGAGAATCATTCCAATCGACTTCTGCTCCCATAGCAACGTAAACATTTTCATCTTGTTCATGAAATATAACAAATTACTTCCAGCAATGCTGCTTTCCCATTGATAGACATCACCGACAGCGACTTCGAAGCAATGGAACTCGCTCCGAGACCAGTAAAGACTATTGAGGATGCGTTGTTGAAAATAATAGCACCAGCTGATGATCTCACTCAACAAATAGTCAATGATGAAGCTGACGATGATGATGTTCAAGAGGTGGAACAAGTGACAAATGATGCTGACGATGATGAAATCGTTTTCATTGGTACTCAGCCGGGCACAGACAGAAGATCGTCATTCAAGAAAGAAGGCAATACTTCGTTTAGAGAGGAGACGACCATGAAGTACATAATTTCTTTTTTTCTTTATTTTTTGTTTCGGAAGTTCGTGAAAAGCAACTTTTTGACACAATTAGAGCTGGAAATAGGAGACTGCCCGTTCGCCGCGCAGTGTAGTTTATTGATTAATTCATTATTCGATTGGCTTTCGGTTTAGAATAACGTAACACTGAAAGCTTATTGAATCAAAATATGAAAAAAATTGTGTTAAAATCCGCTACCGTTCCCATATTCCAGTACTCCTAAAACAACACCAATCTATTCATCGCCATTGGATTCAACAAGAAGTCGCATTGCAAGAAATCAAATGCAGGTCCATTCAAAGTAAGTTGAACTCACAGAACAACAAACTCTTAGTTCATTATTCAGTGTTCAATTCGATGCAGCTGCAACTGCACTCGATTCGCCAATGGATGTCAGCAATACTTCGTTTAGAGAGGAGACGACGATGAAGTACATAATTTTGTTTTATTATTTATTCATTTTTGTTTTGGAAACTCGTAAAAAGCCACTTCTTAACACAATTAGAGGTCGAAATATGAGACCGCTCGTTAGCTGCACTTTTTAAAAATTATTTTATTATTCGCTTGGCTTTCGGTCTGAATAACGTTACTCTGAAAGCGAATCGAAACATGCCATTTCTCTTTTCCAGTACTCCTACAACAACACCAATTTATTCATCGCCATTGGATTCAACAAGAAGTCTCAATGCAAGAAATCAGATGCAGATGCATTCAAAGTAAGTTTAACTCACAAAACAACAAACTCACAATTCATTATTCAGTGTTCAATTCGATGCTGCCGCAACTGCACTCGATTCGCCAATGGATGTCCGACCGCCCAATGTGAGAGAGCACGTGCTGAATCTTGAAAGGTTATTAAATAGCGGCTTCCCATGCATATTTTACATTTTCAGGTGCCTCGGGGATGCTCAAATAAAGGCCGCACAAGACGCATTGCGAATCACTGATTTGGAGACGAAACTGCAAAAGTTTGGAGAGGACGCTGCAAAGAAACAGGATGATTATAAAATTCTTCATGAGTAAATATCAAAGCTTAGAGAAATTAAAAATAGTTTCTTCTTTCCAGAGATTTTATAACAAGTCAATTGAGAATCTCTATTTTGGAATCACAAAACAAAGAAGTTAACCAGCGATTTGATCGAGTCGAGAGAGAATTACAGTCAATTCGGTCAAAGGACCTTTCTCCTTCACTGGAATTTTCGACGTCTTCAACTTCTGCGTTTTTCACGTGCTCCTCTGAATCATTCGTTGTTTCTCCCATCAAAATTCCTCAAGCCGTTTCACTTACACAGGAAACCGGACCGTCTGATACGAGAACTCCGAATTATCCGATTGATGATGAGACACCACCGATCATCAGACCGAAGCGCATAGTGCCGAAAGGTAAACCAGCGGATGCTTACGAAGATAAAACGAAGAAGGCTACTCCGAAGAAGAAGACAACTTCAAAGTTAACTTCGCGCAAAGGTAGACGTACTCCCAATAAGGCGACCGAGAAGGAGAATGATGAAGAGGAGAAGACGCCAGCTCCTGCTGCAATTCCGTTAGTTTCGAGAGAACGTAGATGCACTATCGCATAGAAACACTGTTTTTACTTGTTTTCTAAAATAAATATTTGTTATTAATAATTAAAGTTTTTGTTTCGTTTCACAAAAAGAATTATTTTCAGGAAGAAGAGAACGGAGGTGAGCAAACTCCATGGAATTCTCGGTGCCAACGACGATACTCCGACGAGCAGAAGAAACACCAAAACTCCGATACGATTCGGCGTCTAATCTGTCATGTTTTATCTTTAATAATTATTATTATCCTTTGTTTTTTTTTGTAATAGCAATTAGCACTCCTAGCCCTAGTTCTTTGTTTTGTTCCCCTAGTTTTTGTAGAATCTCCCCCAATAAATCCACGTCGCGTGACCTGTTCTTGTTTATTCCACGTGGCAAGGAGAAACTTACTGAATAGTTCAGTTGAAAGGGTATTTCTCGAAAACATGAACATGTTCTGGAGATCCAACAATGATCAAGTCAAGCGAATGGCTAGTGAGTTTTGCCTCGGCGGGGATCGAACACGCGATTGAAAATTGAAAGACAAAACGTTTAGCCGGACGATCTCTTCGTTGCATTAGAAATACAGAAAGATGGGCCTTTCAAAGCTTGTTGCTCAAAAGAATTCTGATTTTTTTCTAGATTTCTATCCAAAAGGGTTGAAAATGGATTTCTGCTCGATTCCGGCTCTCGCCTCCTCCAAAGAAGTGCAGAAACTCGATTTGGGATATTGTGGAAACACGAAATGGTTTCTCGGAGTTGACAACAGGAAATCCGACAAATTATCGATTTCTTTGACCTGTGAACCGGCTCAATCCTGCCTTGCTCACATG